TCTTTCATCATATGTGCTCATAGAAGTGGTAAAGGAGGTGCTGAAGGTACGTCCGGACTTTGCATGGAAGAAGGACCAGCGCCATGGCTTCACGCCTTTACACATCTCTTGCATGAAAGGCCACCGAGATATCACCAGAGAGCTCCTCCGGCTGGACAACGACCTCTCCTCCTTACAAGACAATGACGGCCGCACGCCTCTCCATTGGGCGGCCATTAAAGGTCGAGTCAATATTCTCGACGAGATACTCTCCGAGAACCTCGAGCCGGCTGAGATGATCACCGAACATGGCGAGACAGTTCTGCACCTTGCTGTGAAGAATAACCAATATGATGCGGTTCGCTACCTTGTGGACAACATTAACACCTCAAAACTGGTGAATTTACCGGATCACGATGGCGACACCGTCTTGCATTTAGCCACCGCCGGAAAACTTAACACGGTAAGATTAAATCGTTTATAGTTTTCTGTGTCCTTGCATATTCGTACAATCTCATTTTTAGCCCTCAAACTTTTTTTTGTTTTCAATTAAATCCATCAGCTACTCAATTGCATATGAATTGACAATTTGACACGTATGGAGTTGGGGTAACTGGTACCCCTCCATTATTCTTTAATTGTTTCACTTATTAAATTAGAGTGTTTTTAGAGTATCTATAATGGTATTTTATTTGGTTGTTCTCTGCTTAAATAAAATAGAGATAGAATTTTGTCTCATTAAAAAATTTTAAAAAAATTAAGCTTTACTTTTTAAACTAAACCTGCTCTATTAAGGTTTTTGGAGCTGAAAACGGGCCAAAAGAATGTTGTTTTGATCCTATTATGCCATAATTTTTTACTAACCTGATACCTGCATTTGACTAATTAGATTTATGATGAAAATATGTTGATATACCTGTTATTTTTTTATTCAACCGTTAGATATTAAAATTAAATTTGAATTTCAAACATTAATAATTTTGTTTTCATGCAGTTCCTATAATGCATATCTATAATTATGCAATTTCAAAGTAAGAGTGTGGGACAATTATAAAAACAGAGGGAGTATAATAGAAGCCCAACATAGTTGGATCGGAGGGCTTAATTCCCAAAAAATTAGTTTCATAGCTTAATTAAAGGGAAAAAAGGGTTTGGGGGCTAATAGTAGAATTTTTCCCTTGACCTTCAGATGGTGGGCTATCTTCTCAAGCTGGGGGTGGATGTAAATGCACTGAACCGGAAAGGATACACTGCTCTGGACGTTGTGGAGACGAGCGGGGGCTCTTCTGGTTCTCTGATGATATTCCCGGCATTGAGAGAAGCAGGGGCGAAGAGATGCGACGAGTTGCTGCCGGGTGCAACACCGGATATACAACAAATTCAGGATATACAACAAATTCAGGATAACAGCCCCAACATCAATAGTCCAATCTCATGGCCCAAAAGATCAGTCGAGACTCCGACCCAGAATCACCGCCGCCGCCACCGTCGCCGCCGAGAAAAGCAGCTCGAGATTCAAAACGAGGGTTTGCGGAACGCGCGCAACACGATTACTGTTGTGGCGGTTTTAATCGCTACGGTTACATTCGCCGCCGGAATAAACCCTCCGGGAGGGTTTAACCAGACTACTGGAAAAAGCATCATGGGCAGGGAAACCTCTTTTAAGGTCTTTACCGTCTGCAACATCGTGGCTCTGTTCTTATCCCTAGGAATAGTCATATTCCTCCTAAGCATCATTCCTTTCCGGCGAAAACCCATGATGATATTACTGTCGGTGACGCATAAGGTGATGTGGGTGTCGACGTCGTTCATGGCGGCAGCTTATATTGCTGCTACATGGACAATTCTGCCGGGTGGATGGGGTTCTGTGTGGGTGTTGGTAGCGGTGGTATCAATCGGCGGCGGCTGCACGTTGGCGATTTTCGTCGGGTTGGGGGTCATACTGGCGAGGCATTTGCTTAGAAAATGGGAATGGAGAAAAAAGAATGCAAAGGATGTCAGCCCAAGGAGTAACATCAGTCGCGTTGAAGAGATGCGGATGATGAGAAAAGGCACTCAGGAATCCACCAGTAACTCCGATCTCGACAGCTCCGATCAAGGCTACCACCCATTCTAGCACTCTCATATGAGATAAATCCAAAATTCCATGATTTGTTTAAGATGGTGATTCGTCTAGTGCAAAACAGGGGAAGCAACCACCTTAGGACATCTTTCGCCTATTCTCATAGGGCATATTTCAGTTGTTAAATACAATTTAAGTAGCTTAAAGAAAGAAACCATCAAATGACATCAAGCAAGCAACAAGATGATTATGTTGTTGCTTGATTAAGATTACAATTAGATAGTGTCAAGAATTTATTAAAGGTATGTTTGGTTTGAAAGAAACAAAAATGAGAGGAGGGAAAATTTTTTTGTTCAATTAAATTAACATTGCATGTAATTTTGTTTACCATTGAACAATTACAAATGATTGTTTCTTATTGTAATGAGGACAATCGTTGGTAGATCTTACAATTTGGCTTGGAAGGCTCTTGAGTCGTGAATATGCATGAGGGATGGAACTAGTCTCTGGAATGTCCAATATTTAAAGTTAAAAGGGTTAGCATCATGTTAAAAAGTGTTAAAATTAGTCATGGCATCAAAAACAAGGATCTTGGTGAAAATATGGATTTGGATGTGGACCAACCAAGCTTGCGGTACAGATTCAGATTGAGGACAATGACATAGCCTCCAACTCAAGTTTTCCCAGGGTAGGGATTCTCAACAAAAGGTCAAGAGGCTTTAAACAGGAAAAGATAATTTGTTAAGGAGAGAAACAAAGATGTTCAATTCATAAAGGACACGTAAATATCACACATAATGACAAACATAAAACATCCCACAACACGACTCAGATAAAGATGAATACAAATCAAGCTCTAAAAGGAATGCTGTCCAAATTAAATCTGGAACTGAATGGCCATGAATGGTCCATGAAATCCGTATGGAACTCTGTATGGCAAAGTAATCTGGGCAACTGGCTCTGCATTGAAGTTCTTTGCATCAACTATAAGAGCCTGCGTATGTAATGAAAGATGATCGATACAAACTGCTCTGAGCAAAGAAGGTAAGAAAATACAAATTCTGATTCAACTTACTTTAGAGATATTAGTATCTTCATTGTGAACAAAAGTTATAATCCAGCTATCATCGTCTTCGGTGCCTCCTTCTTAAGGAACAAAGGCAGCTCCAGTGCAGAAGGTGTTCTCTTCAAACATATGATATTCTACCTTTATTGAACCTTCTCCTTGTCCCTCTCTCTGCTTTTGGAAAATTTTCAGAGTTAACTAGGAGAGAGTATATAATTGATAGAAGGATAGAATGAATTTGTGAGAAAGCCAATTACCAGAGAAAGTTCAGGATTTAATTAGCTCTTCAAAGTACAGCTTGGCCTGGCCTCCATACTTGGGAATGCCTGCAGCAGAACTTGCAATGGACTGAACTACTTGCATGCAACTGTACTTATTTTTAAGACCTGTAAAGGCTTCATTGATTATAGGGAAATCTAATCCAAATTCTGTTCCAGTTAAGTTTCTTTCCTTAACATCTCCTGTATGCATGTCTAGTCTCCACTCATACGGACGAGAAAATATCAATTCATCTTCTGTTACAGCATCACCACTTTCTCCAACTGATCCAATAGGCCTGAATTTGCTCCAAAACCACTCAAATTTATTCTTACCAAAATCAGGTCCTGGAATGATAGATTCAAGATCTCTGCAACCCCACACCACAATCTGGAAAATGTGAAAATGTGTTCATTAATCTCATAAAGATTTTATATAACATATATAGTAAAAACCAGATAATATACCTCATTGCCATCTTCAAAACAATTGATAATATGATATGTACAATTTGGCTTCACATCAAACCACTTATTAGAGTCTACATCACCATAGCGAGGCATTATGCCAATCCTGGCAGATTCATCCTTTTTAAATTTTATTAATCTGCAAAACAACATTTGCTCAAAGTAAAATCAATTTTATGAGATCAGATGAGAATTAAACTAATTACCAGAGAGTTCTTTTAAGAATACTGAAGTTTGGCAAAGTGCACTCACGGGCCACCCTGAACAAGTCGGTTTATGTCTCTGGATATTGGACAGTCAAAGAAAACAGTGTAACTGCAAATCAAAGACTAATGATTTTCGTTTTGTTATATATGTAAGACTCGGGAAATAATCAAACTATTGCTATATGTTACCTTCATGTAACTCCAATTTCGTGGGAAACAATGCCCCTATTTAACTTGAGGTCAACTTTATGGAGTAATTTCTTTCCACCAGCTGGATTAGAAGAACAAGAAAGAAATGAGGATTATTTTCATACTAATTTTTGTTACAAATGTTTTCGGAATAAATTATACCAGAAACTACTCCCACTTCAACAAAAGGTTTAGTTGCTTGAAATCCCATTATAACCACCTCACCAGTGCCTGGAGCACTCTGTCATACAGAACTGAAGTTAAGAAAAAAATCAAATAAACTTCTGTAGATACATGTAAAGAAAGAACCTTTGGATGGGAGGTAAAAGGCCGATTCCGGGCTCCATTGACATCCTAAGTGCCTAGAGTTTTGAGTGTGAAAATGTCAATCTCTTGAGGAAGACCATTTTCTGCAATTGCATAGAATTTGCCTGCATGCTCAATAACACTGGTGTTGCTATATAATTTGTTGACTTCCCCAAATCTCAACTGGTGATAAATCATTGAAAGGATCAAACCATCAAGTTTTATTCTTTAAAATTTTCCTCATTTTATACAGGTGATACTTCACCTACCCAATTAAGAAGATAAGCAGACAAAACAGAGAGTGAGTCCCCTTCTACAGCAGGAAGAAAAAAGTGCTTGTTGAGTTGTTTCTCTATCATGAATGTTTTACTCTCAATGTATCTGTTATTGTATGCAAGGGTCCAACTCCTATCAGTGGTGATTTTTTTGAAATACAAAGCATGAACCATCCCTTCTCCTTCAACCCAGGCATCACTTGATCGCCCCAACAAAGATCTTGTTGCTTTAACCCCATAAAGAGGGTTCGTTCCTGCAATTACAAGAACACTCGACTAATTACCTAACTTTTTTGTTGCTTTAATATTCCGTCCTTTCCTTTTTTAGGGAATGAGGAGACAGCACACGCATGCATAATTGCATACATGTTGGATACCATCATGAACCTAAAAATCTAAGCTATTGGATTCATGAATCCTCTATTGTATATATTCTCCTTACCTATCCCCTATCCTTTGATACAGAGAATATCACAAAACTTATGATCTAAGAGACACTTTTCTTATACATTGTTCAATCATATTCCAATAAAATGGATAAAATGCTAAATTAGGTGGACAAGATCAAACCATTTCTTATATAGATACCCTCTGGAAAGTCATCTGGAATCTCCCCTTCAATGCTGGTGACAGTTACAGCTTCCCTTAATTCATTCACTGGAAGCAAAGTTGCTCTACATATATGAATACTTGGATGGAGTTATTAGTAGTTAATTAAATAGACTACATAAAAATGCCACAGGTACATGTTCATGTGTGCATGTGATTAATCAGTCACCCTCAGCCCGTGTTTATGCATTCATCTGATTAACCAGTCAAGTTGGATTCAATAATAAACATTGGTTTTGCTGAACGTACTTCAGACGGAAGAAATGGCTGGTCAACAAACTCAAACACAGAATCAACGAATGCATCCAGTAGCTTTGTAGAAGCGTTCTTGATTATTTTCGAAACATCTATTTGCAAGGGAAGCTGCAAAGTTGTTGAAAATGGCTGTAAACGTAAATAAAAAACCATGAAATCAATCCCACGTCTCATGTCAATATAAGAAATATAATTAGGAATGAACCGACCTTAAAACCAGAAGAAAGTATATGCTGTTGAAATGTTGAATGCTTGCTGGGATGGAGGGCTTCTGAACGGGGCAGCACACGTGAAACGCCATGCATGGAGCTGATCCCATCTTGCTTGTCTCTCAACTACCTCTTGTATCTGGTACGTGGATTTCCATGCCCGAGGTATATTTATATAGCTGACATCCATATATATCTATCTTGACATTAATTGGTACACAAACTTTGATTTAATATATTATATAATATATTTATTAAATAATTATTATTTTTTAATATAAAATTACAAATAAATAAATTTAAAAATACACTCATATATACATACAAAATACAAAAACCAATTAAATTTTTTTTTGAAAGGCAAAAACCAGTTATTGAATGTTTTTATATTATATTTTAACAATTAAACTAAAACAAGTATCAAAAAAATATGTTAAACTAAATATATATTAATCATTTTCCATCCTTAATTTATGTTCAAACATAAAACTCCATAAAATAAAATAAAATAAAATAAAACAATTTGGAACTTAGAGTAATTAAAGAAGAAAACATTTACATCTTCATTTTACTGTTCACTTGTTATTATTATTTTTTTTTCAAAACAAGTACATATTTAGAGAAGAGAGATTTGAATCTAATACCTAAAATTAAGAAATGTACATTTTACAAAGACTTACAACCAATTAACCATTTAGGTGAAGTGCGTTCACTTGTTATCTATAGTTACGAGCAATACCAAGCACATAAATCCCAGCAAGGAATTAGAGAAGATCTGTCTTAGTGTCATCTTTTTGATTCTTACCGCATGAACTAATTAATTCTAATGCAACCAACGTGTTACCAAATTATTAAATGATTATGTATCCTTTCTTTATAATTCAACAACTACACATGCATGACAGTTGCTCCTTCGTATAAAACCAGTGGTTGGTTGGACTTGGAATTTAGTGGAACCTGTAATTTGGCTTGGAATACACTGGAATATGCCTTCGTAATTTTTTTTTTTTTGTCTATTTTCCCTTGCTACATATGATATCATGCATGTAACTGAGATAATTTTTTATTTTCTCAAACCTATCTCAATGCACCTAAGATTGGAGCATTAAACCCAATTTAAAGTCCTGTGAGACACCTCGTTGGAGGCACAGATCCTAGGAATCACTATACTATAAATGCAAAGAATAACAGTGTTAAATTTGCAATAATAAAACTGATTGACTTCTCTTTTCACTGTATGAAAATAGTCGTCCTCATTCACTATGGTATCAAATTCAAGAACCCAGTTAGAGTAAAACATGACACTCATTTGAGGAACAATAATTGGGAATCAAGTTATAAGAAGTAC